CCTGGGAGATATGGGGAGATGTGGGGAGATACGGGGAGATATGGGGAGATATGGGAGATGTGGGGAGATACGGGGAGATATGGGGAGACATGGGGAGATATGGGGAGAAATAGGCAGATGTGGGGAGATATGGGGAGATGCGGGGAGACATGGGGAGATATGGGAGATGTGGGGAGATGTGGGGAGATACGGGGAGATATGGGGAGATATGGGAGATGTGGGGAGATACGGGGAGATGTGGGGAGATATGGGAGATGTGGGGAGATGTGCGGTGAAATAGGGAGATGTGGGGAGATATGGGGAGATATGGGGAGATGCACCGGCTCGCTCCTCCGAGGCGCGCGGGTACCGTGGGGGTAGGGGAGGGGAGCGAGCTCTAGAGATGCTGAGAGAAGAGAGAGAGCTAGGGGAGGGGTTCGGGTACCGTGGGGGTAGGGGAGGGGAGCGAGCTCTAGAGATGCTGAGAGAAGAGAGAGAGAGCTAGGGGAGGGGTTCGGGTACCGTGGGGGTAGGGGAGGGGAGCGAGCGCTAGAGATGCTGAGAGAAGAGAGAGAGAGCTAGGGGAGGGGTTCGGGTACCGTGGGGGTATGGGCACCGGCTCGCTCATGCGAGGAGCGCCCGGCCGCTGCAGCGTCTCGTACAGCCCCTCGAGAGAGCCTGCGTTGTGGGTGCGCCGGCGGGAGGGGCTGGGATGCGGGGAGTGTAGAGCGGTCTCCTGCTGCGACTAGTAACGGTGGAGATATGGGGAGATGTGGGGAGATCACGCGTGCGGCGCAGTGTGTTAGGCGCGCAATCTCGTGCAATCTCGCGCAATCTCGTGCAATCTCGCGCAATCTCGTGGTTGTTCTTCTCGGCGCGCGGGCCCATGTCGCAGTACTCGAGAACGAGGTGCAGGCAGCCCTAAAAAAGAAAAACGCCCGTGCGGACAGGGAGGGAGGGAGGGAGGGAGGGAGAGAGAGGGAGGGAGGGAGGGAGGGAGGGAGAGAGAGGGTTTGCCGTTGCAGAATCGGGACACCTCGTGGCGGAAGTGTCTCGAAAGTGTCTCGGAGATGTCTCGGGGGTGTCTCGGGGGTGTCTCGGAGGTGTCTCGGAGGTGTCTCGGAGGTGTCTCGGAGGTGTCTCGGGGGTGTCTCGGAGGTGTCTCGGAGGTGTCTCGGAGGTGTCTCGGAGGTGTCTCGGAGGTGTCTCGGAGGTGTCTCGGAGGTGTCTCGGAAGGTATCGGTACACCTCGTGGTGAAAGGCGTCGTAGAATGCGACGAGGTGGTCGGACCGGGCGGCGAAGACGGTGCGCACCTCGTTGAGCACCATCTGGCGGCTCTCGCGGTCCTGCTCCGCGTTGGACTGCAGCACTTTGACGGCGACCGGCTTGCCGGTCGGTCGGTGAACCATCAGGTACACCTTTGAGGACATGCCCCGGCCCAGCTGGCGCTGCATCACGAGGTCCTGCAGCCGTAGGTGCGGGTCGTGCTCTCCGAGCTGCAGCGGCGATTGCGTGATCCCGTTGCGGCCGATCACAAAGTTGTCGAGCGCGAGCGAGCCGGTGTCCGACATCTGCACCGAGTTTTGCCGCTCGAGCGACATGGCGAGCGGCCGCAGGTTCGGCTTCTTGAGAGGCATGGCCGCCACCAAGCCAAGGGGCGAGCCACCCACCCGCCGCGGCAGTGCACGAGCGACCCTTGCGGCGGCGGCTTGTTTCGCGCACAGATTTCACCGTATCAGATACAGATTTCACAGGTTCTCGAGGTTCTCGAGGTGGATATCCTTTGGCCGCGTTGGGTAGCGAGGATTGGTGTAACCCGAGCCACGGAGGCGTGTTTTCTGACGGCCGACCGTCAGTGCACGGAGTTGCCCCTTCTCCGACTGCCCCGGCTAGTTCCCGAGGTCGTCGGGTGTGACCCCTTCGTAGATTTCACAGACCTTGAGCACTTGAGCACTGGATAGCGAGGGTCGGTTCCGCATGGTACGGGACAGACCTTGTCATTTTGAGCTTAGCCTTCGATGTTATGAAACAAACGCAAGGCGGACATGGCATATCGCTCTCGGGCCCACAGACATCCCGCACACCCGCCGCCCCCCCGCGCGCGCCCCACCCCGGCCGGGCGGGAGAAAGGGGAGTGACAGTTTGGGACGGCAACAGAACGAGTATGTTGAGTCCTGGCTCAACAACGCAGGGTAAATGTAAGCCGGATGGCTCACAGGCCACCTCTTGCGCCCCGACTGACCGATCTACCGCACTGGCCACTTCCGCCCCCTTGCTCCCAACCCATCCACCTCGCCTCGGGCCGCGCCGCGCAATTTCGGGCGATCTCGCGCTATCTCGCGGGCGATCTCGGGGCCGCGCCGCGCTATCTCGGGCGATCTCGGAGCGTCGCTCGCGCGGCGTCACACTTGCTCAAAAAAGGAAGGGCCTGGTTGGAGCCACGGCGGCTCACGTGCTCGCTCGGTTGCTTCTCGCCGCCTCGCTCTGCGCCACTTGGGCCGGTGAGGCGGCGCCCCGCGCGGCCTTGTTATTTTAGCACTTGAGCACTTGATATGATTCGGCGTAGATAGGACGAGTCAGGACGCTGGACGGCGCTCGCCGGACGCCGGCTCGCCGGCCCAACGCCGAGCGGAAGTGTGACGTGAATTGTCAACTGCACTCGAGGGACGAGGCACCGCCCGCCCCATTCATCAAGGCACAAGAGCTCTACCCCAGGCCAGGGCGAGAAACGCAAACCCAACTACAAAGGGGCGCAGATGTCGGCTCCGCTAGCGCCGGAGTTCGTCCTAGGAGCCCCACGCCTCGCGTATGTATATCCGTGCTCCTTGAGCAGCACCCCGAGGCTAAATCCAGGCGTCTTCTTCGCTGTTTGTTCACAGCACGCCACTAGGGAACCTACGGCTCTTAACTAGCTGTATATAGTCGCGATCTGCCGGCGTGCGTATGAGCTCACTAGCTAGAGCTCACACTAGAGGCCGTCATCGCATTCGCCTTCCTGGGACCCAGCGCTGACTTCTGACTGTCGTTGCGGTCTATCCCTTTCTCGACTGTCTGTGCTTGTGCGTCTTGGGTCCGGAGTTGTGCGTTTATGTGAATCGTGCGGTGGGCTAAATCGCTCTTACAACATATATGGCGCCTAAGGGCCCTCTCAGCGACAAATGCCGACCGACGCGCTCGAGGACTTGATGCACCAGAAGGCGCACGCCCAGAAGAGCCGCGCAAAGGCTCGCCGGTCCAAGCACCACCGCGGCGGCGTGCCTCCGGAGCCGGCGGACGCTCCTGTCCTTCGGACGGCGTGGTCGACTCGACTGGTTCCGCACAACGAGTTCATGGGCCCTTGGGAGCGGTGCCACGCGACGCTGGTCAACGATGCGCGCGCGTACCGGGCGACGGGCCGGCCACAGATCGCTCTGCTCGGCGACAGCATCACCGAGAGCTGGCGCGGCACGGGTCTGTGCCGCAAGCTCGGCCGGTGCCAGGGCGTGCCGGGGGTGCTGCAAGCGACGCTGGGCGCGCGGTGGCCGCAGCCGACTGTCCTCGGCATCGCGGCGGACCAGCACCCAGCCACCTCCTCTTCATATCCTCTGACCAGGTGGCGCTGAATGAGCTATCCGTTCGTAGGCGGACCACACCCAGCACCTGCTCTGGCGGCTGGCCGACGGCGAGGAAGTGTGTCGGAAGTGTGTCGGAAGTGTCTCGGAAGTGTCTAGGCGGGCTGGCCGACGGCGAGCTAGGAAGTGTCTCGGAAGTGTGTCGGAAGTGTGTCGGAAGTGTCTAGGCGGCTGGCCGACGGCGAGCTAGGAAGTGTCTCGGAAGTGTGTGGGAACTGTCTCGGAAGTGTCTAGGCGGCTGGCCGACGGCGAGCTGAGTCCGGCGATGGCGTCGGACCCGCAGCTGGCGTTTGTGGTGCTCATCGGAACAAACAACCTCGGCCGCGGCCACACACTCCGAGGAGGTGGCCGCCCAGCGCACTTTCTTTTCCGGCCACGTGCTTTCTTCTCCTACAGGCCACACGCCCGAAGAGACGGTCGCGGGCGTGGTCGCCGTCGCGGGCACCCTCCTCAACCAAACACAGGGCAGGGTGCTGCTGAACGCGCTGCTGCCGCGCGGCGACGGAAACAAGCGCAAGAAGGCGGCGCCAGTCGTTGGCAGCGCTGCCGACGGAAGCCCGGTCCGCTCCTTCTCCCCGTTGATCACCAAGGTCAACGCTGGCCTTCGATCGTGGGCGGAGGCGGACACCTTCCGCCGCGTCGGGACGCGCGGTATTTCTTTTGTCGCACCATAGTTCTTCTTCACTGCAGGCGGACGCGCCTCGCCGCATCGGGACGCGCCGTGTCTTTTTTGTTGCCCACCGTTCCGTCCCACACTGCAGGCGGACGCGTCTCTGGCCGCGGCCGCGCGATTTCTTCTTTTACTTTTCGCCCACACTGTCTTGGTGTCTCCAGGCGGACGCGGCGCGCCGCGTCGGGTTCGTCGATTGCGGCGGCCCGTTTCGGCGCGGGGAGCACTACGTGCAGCGCGAGCTGATGCCAGACTCACTGCGCCCCAGCCTAGATGTCGAACCGAGATGGCAGGGAAGGGAAGGGAAGGGGAGGGAAACTTCTCCGCGCACACGAGGTGGTGGGGCAGGGGGGAGGGGGGGTGGGGGGGGGGGGGCGTCCCTCGCAACTCCGCGTCTACTAGATGGCGGACGACGGAACGCGTGCACGGCTTGAGGGAGGGAAAGTCTCTTTAGCTGTGTTTCGCCGTATTCTACCGCATTGCCGTATTCCGTGCAACCGCCGTACCACCGTAATCAGCTCGCTTTCGCCTTATTCCGCTGTATTCCGCTCTCCTCGCTCTCTGCGCAGGCCTCGTATTTGCACGGAGCGAACTCACGGCACGAGACCGTGTTGCTCTTGCTGTTCACGCCCTGACCTTCGGTGCTTCACCACCGCAGGCACCCCAATCGAAAGGGGCACGAGCTGTGGGCGAGCTGCCTGACCGCGGCGCTGCTGGATCACTTTCCGGGCATGTGACGGATACACCGATACAGACCCCTCTGCCCTACAAAGAGGCCAACGGACCCACCAGAAATTTCTTTTCTTGAAATTCTTTTTCGAAGAAAAGGGTGGGAGACCTCCCGCGCGGGGCACGCTCAAGTACACATGCAACGACGCGCGGTGTGCGCACGCAGCACCCTCTTCGTCTCCCCTCTGCCTCAACCCTTCCCAATCTAGGACCCCAGCGCTGGCCGCCCGCCAGCTGGCCGGCGCGCGCGAGAGAGAGCCAGCGCCGGCGCCGCACGTGCCAGCGGCGAATGGCGCCTTGCCGGACGTGGTCTGCGGCTCGCGGCGCCAGTTCGGGCGGCGGCCGCGGCCGTTTGCCTTGCCAGACTTGCGCCTGCCCTTTGCCTTGCCAAACTTGGGGTTGTTGCGGCAGCGCATGGCCTTGCGCCGGCACTTCCCCGAGCGCCGCGACTGCAAGTCCGCCCACTTCTCCCGTTGCTCGGCAATGAGATCGAGCGCGGCCTTCGCCTTCTTCAGCCGCCCCTCCCAGTGCTCGCGCTCCTTGGCGGCCTCGGCCTCAGCCTGCCCCGCGCCCGCGACCGCGCCAAGGGGCTTGGGCGCCACGGGCGCAATGCCGCCGGAGGTGGGGACTCCCGGCGACGGCGACTTCTCGCCGTCGGCGGGCGTAGCCTGGTAGCTGACGCTCTCGCCCAGCCGGCGGACTGCAGCCTCGACGCCGTCCACGTAGCCCGGTCCGGAGCTGCTGCGGGCCGACGCGGGCCCGCTCTTCCCCGCCGCCATCGGCGTGGGCAGGCCCGGGTAGCAGGTGGTGTCCTGCAAGCGCGATAGGGGCACACGGGAAGGGAGATTATTACCGGTGGGAGAGCGAGGAGAGTGCCAGGAGAGAATGCTGCGGCGCGCTCACCACCCCTTCCGGCGTGTTGGAAACGGTCTTGGCCGGCTTCTCGACCTCCTTGGCAGCCTCCTCGGCGACGGCCTCCTCGGCGACGGCCTCCTCGGCGACGGGCGCCTCCTGGGAGGCGGACACCTCGGCGGCGGCGGGCTTGATGGTCGCCTCCTCGGTGGCGGACTCCTCGGCGACGGCGGGCTCCTCGAAGGCGGCCTCCTCGGCGACGGACTTGGTGGAGGACTCCTCGGCGACGACGGCCTCCGCGGAGGCGGCATCCTCGGCGGCGGGGGCCTCCTCGGTGGCGGCGGACTTGGTGGCGGCCTCCTCGGCGGCGCACTCCTCGGCGGCGCACTCCTCGGCGGCGGTCTCCTCGGCGGCGGCGGACTTGGCGGCGGCCTCCTCGGTGGCGGCCTCCTCGGTGGCGGCCTCCTCCTTCACGGCCACCTTCTTGCGCGCCAGCAGCCCGCGCGAGACGCGCTGCATGATCTTCGCAGCGCGCGGCTCCGCCAACCCGATCTCGACGCTGGTCAGAAACACCGGCTTGGAGGCGTAGAAGCTGTCCTCCACGACCATTGACCGGTCGGCCCGCTCCTGCATGGTAGGGGTACACGGGAGAGAGATTAATACGGGTGGGTGGAAAGCAAGGAGTGCCAGGAGAGAACGCTGCGGCGCGCTCACCGTTGGGTCGGGCGTGTTGGAAACGGTCTTGGCCGGCTTCTCGACCTCCTTGGCAGCCTCCTCGGCGACGGCCTCCTCGGCGACGGGCGCCTCCTCGGCGACTGCCTCCGCGGCGGCGGACACCTCGGCGGCGGCGGACTTGATGGTCGCCTCCTCGGTGGCGGACTCCTCGGTGGCAGACTCGGCGGCGGCGGACTTGGTGGCGGACTGTGCCTCCTCGGCGACTGCCTCCGCGGTGGCGGACTCCTCGGCGGCGGCGGACTTGGCGGCGGCCTCCTCGGTGGCGGACTCCTCGGCGACGACGGCCTCCTCGGTGGCGGTGGACTTGGTGGTCGCCTCCTCGGCGGCGGACTCCTCGGCGACGACGGCCTCGTCGGAGGCGGCTTCCCCGGCGACGGCCTCCTCCTTCACGACGACGTCGTCGTTGACGCCGCACGCCTGCGTGAGGGAGAAACGTAAATGTAAATGTTTGGAGACGGGGACACCGCAGGGACAATGCCGATCCTGGCGTGCGCGTGCGCACCTCAGCTCCGAGCGAAGGCGGCAGCGTCAGGCTCGCGCGGCGGCGCTGATACCACTCCTCATACTCTGCACTGGAAGCGAAGTAGCCACCGACCTTGACGGAAGCCGTTCGCCCGAGCTCGGTCTGAACCTGGGCCCCCTCCGCGAAACAAAAGCTTATTGGCACCTTTGCGAGGCTCCGATGGAACACGTGGGGGTTGTCGAACCAGACCCCCTTTGTTGATCTCACAACCAAGAAAGCCGACTCGCCCTCGCTCTCATTGAAGTCGACCATGTAGCGCCTCTCTCGGCGCGCGTCCTGCAGAGCACATAAAAGCAACCATAAAAGCAACCATCAAATATGAATTAATAAGATTGAGGCGCCCAGTACAGCGCTGCAGCTGCTGCACCAACTTCTGCAGATTGCGCATTCTTACTATCGACTACTGCATATCACGCTAGTACGGTCGATTACTGCAGACTACTGACTGCGGACTACTGCTGCGGACTACTGCGCATTGTTACTGTCGACTGAAGCTGATTACACGCTATTACTGCATGTTATCAATTAAAACTAATGACTATTGATTATTAAGAGGCGCCCAGTACAGCGCTACAGCTGCTGCACCAATTTGTGCGACTACCACTGCGCATTATTATTACTGTCGGCTGCTGCTGATTAAAGGCTGTTACTGTGGACTACTGCATGCTATCAATTACACATTAATGACCGTTGATTATTATGAGGCGCCCAGTACAGCGCAGCTGCTCACCAACTACTGCGACTACTGCTGCGATATACTCCAGCGGACTACTGCGCATTATTACTGTCGGCTGCTGATTATACGCTGTTACTGTGGACTATTGCATGCTATCAATTACATATTAATGACCATTGATTATTATGAGTCGCCCAGTACAGCGCTGCAGCTGTTGCACCAACTTGTGCGACTACTGCTGCAGACTGCGCATTGTTACTGTCGACTACTGCGGATTTCACGCTAGTACGGTCGATTACTGCAGACTGCGGACTACTGCTGCGGACTACTGCGCATTGTTACTGAAGCTGATTACACGCAAATGACTATTATTAAGAGGCGCCCAGTACAGCGCTACAGCTGCTGCACCAATTTGTGCGACTACCACTGCGCATTATTATTACTGTCGGCTGCTGATTATACGCTGTTACTGGCGCCCAGTACAGCGCAGCTGCTGCACCAACTACTGCGACTACTGCTGCGATATACTCCAGCGGACTACTGCGCATTATTACTGTCGGCTGCTGATTATACGCTGTTACTGTGGACTATTGCATGCTATCAATTACATATTAATGACCATTGATTATTATGAGTCGCCCAGTACAGCGCTGCAGCTGTTGCACCAACTTGTGCGACTACTGCTGCAGACTGCGCATTGTTACTGTCGACTACTGCGGATTTCACGCTAGTACGGTCGATTACTGCAGATAAACGACTGCGGACTGAGTACTATGATGATCTCGGGGAAGCTCTCAGGCAATGATCAGGTTGAAGAGGCCAGCCAGCGCCATCTTGGTACTTAGAAGTCACAGGCGCACGAGACGTACCACGTGTGATCGGCTGAGAATGAGTGCCTGTAGAAATTAGCCATCGGCACGAGCATGGAGTGCATGAATGTGAGTAACTACCACAGCCGAAGTTTGTGAACGAGTGAGAATGAATGACTAAGTAATTAATGGGTGAGAACGAATGATTAAGTAGGAAGTAGTCATAGGCGCACGAGCGTGGAGGGCGCAACCTGTCAATGACGAGTGAAATTGAATGACATCTACCACAGCCGCGGCTTTTGAATGAGTGAGAATGAATGATTAAGTAGTAATTAGTCATAGGCGCCCTGTTACTGAGAATGGCTAACTGCCACAGACTTGACACGTGTGACTAAATTGTGATTAGTCCCTAATAGTAACCACGAGACGGGAGAGCGTTCCGCGTTAATGAGTGAGGGCGTATTTACGCAATCCTGTGTCGGTCTCGGCTGGGATCTCGGGTAGATCTCGGAACCTCTGCGCGCGCAGCGGCAGCGCAGCGGAAGGAACACGCCTACGCGATCACAACCGTGTGAAAGAGAGTCAAAGAAGATGTCCTTTGTTTATGAGGGATCATGCGGGCTATGAAGGCATATGAGAAAATCTCGGGCAATCTCGGGCGACCTCGCCTAAAAAGACAGAAAGAAATCAACGCGCCCGCGTGCCGCAGCAGGAGAGGAGACTGGGCTTCTTGACTTGACCGGGAAGGTTCGAGCCTGAGAGAGTAGAGCCGCGCCTACGGGCAACACGCCGCGGCGTTAGTGTCGCGACGACCGGCACACTCTCTCGTGTCCTCGGCGCTCGGACTGGAGCCGGGCAGCGATTGGCAAGCGAGCGGGCTGCGTCGCTCTCTCGCCGGAAAAGAGTGGGGGCTATCGGGCGGGTTTGCTCGGTGTATGGGTGGGAAACGAGCTGCAGCGGCCGCGTCTCGCGGCTCCCCGATGGCAGCAGCCTCACCTGCGAACGGGAGGTGGCAGGCATTGTGAGGCCGAGAGGGGCGTAGCAGATTACGCTCGCGAAGCGCATCGCATGGTGGGAGCGGAGAGGGAGCGGCGGGTTGCGCGAGCGAGATGCGTCGCGCCGCTCGGGCGTGCAGCTCGCCGCGGCCATATGTGCGTCGATACGGCGGGGCCAGCGCGAGCGGAACGGGAAAGGCGAGGGTTGGACCTGTGGGCCGTCGGCGACGTCGAGGGGAATGTGACGCGCGCTTTTGGATGTCTATATGAAGAGGAGACCGAGATAGCCAGCCGAACGCCCCGCCTCGATCAAAAAGAGCGCCTTCGGCACTACTCTCTCGAGGTCTCGCGGATCTTATAAATCAGCCGAACGGTATTTGTATTCAGCGGGGCACGCGCGGAACGGAATACGTGCCGACTGTGTATAACACTCGTGTCCTGCTGTCAAAAGCTCAAGAGTCAAGACAGGGACGTAGAGCTCTACATGCAAGTACTCGCTTAGTGTGGGTAAACCATAGTACCGTATACGGTACTATGAACAGAGAAGCCCATAAAAAGTCGCCGCGGCAGTCCACGCCGAGCCGGCCTGCTGCCGGCTCGCACGGCAGCCTTTTCCTCTCGACCAGCCTCAACTTCCGTACAGTCAACATTTTGTCGCTGCGTGCTCGTGGCGAGCTGTGGCGGCGGTCGAAGTTGGCCCAGATTCGACGACGAGCGCCGGACGATAGTACCGCCTCTGTTCGCCCTGTGCATGTCAGGCCAGGCTGCAGCAGGGCACTACCATCGTGCTGCCCTGCTGCAGCCTGACCTTACCCACTGTGCACAGCCGCCAGAGCACCACCACCGCCCGGCATCGTGTCACGGCGAGCTCCTTCTGCGCCCGCTCGCGAGGCTCTCGCGCTGGCACACTTTGGCCATCTGCTGCTCGCGTTCGGCGAGCTCTTCTCCGCAATCCTGCCACGGTGCCGCCACCACACACCTTCTGGCCGGCCTGAGCCGCGCGGACTCGCCGGCGGGGGCAACGTGTCGACCTCTCTCTCTGGTGCACCACGGGCCGCGACGGCCTGCGAGCAGCTGGCGCGAGGAGGCAGTGTGCCGGCACAGTCGAGCCGGAGCATCGGGTTCTTGATGCTTGTGGGGTCGAGTTTGACCTTATGTGGCATAATATGCAACAATAAGGCTATGCTATCTCCCGGCTTTTTGAGACATGATCCCTCAAAGTCGAATTATGGTTTACTGGTGTGGTGGTGACCATAGTACCGTCTGTCTTGTTTGCGTTTCTTCCAACGAATACTTTAAAGTCTTGACAATCACTAAGCTGCTTATGTGGCACCGCAGAGGCTCCCTTGGGGATGCCTGAGGCCACCCCAACCACTCACCAAGCCTTCCGTGGACGAATTCAAACCTACTTTTATGGTTTACCCACACTAAGCGAGTACTCCTCAATGTGTGTGTCTCGCGCCTTGCGGGGGGGAGCGGAAAGGAGGAACCTCTTCCCAAGAGCACCACTCTTGGAGCGCCGCCACTACCACCCAGAGCGCTGCAAGCAGCGCCGGGCAATGACGGCTTACCGCCCACCCAGCCCCCCCTCGGCACACCCCGGCAGCCAATGTGTGACGGCTCGAACCCGCTAAGCCATCCCGCTAGCGGGATGGCCCGCCACTCGAACCCGCAAGCGGGTGTACGAACCGCGAGCGGCTCGCACTCGTGACACGCAGGCGTCCGACAGACGGCGCCGGGGCTAGGCGACCGAAGAGGAACTACGGCAAGAACCGCACCACCTTGTGATTTTTGGGTCAAAATCGTCCCGATTTCATAATGTTCGTTCGTACGTGCATCCGCGGCGCCCAGCACGGTGCCAGCGGCTCCCATACCTCTAAGAGGCCACCCACCTCCGTATAGACCCTTATATCCGCGGTTTACGCCCAATAGAGGCAGCTGCAAGAGGGCCCGGACGGGCACTGCGGCACACACTGCTCGCTGCTCGGCCATGCGGTAGCGTCTGGTGATGCCGCCCCTGCGCGGGCGGGGGCGTCTCGCTCGGCAGCAACTGCGCCGCGCCGCGCAGGTTCGAGGGTCGCGGTGGGTGGGTGCACCGGAAGACGTAGCGGTCGAGAAAGCGCGCAGCGACCGCTACGTCTCGAGGATGGAGCCGTCGCGCGGACCCGACCGGCCGACCGGCAGGAGAAGCAGGCGCCGGAGGGCGCGGGAGGCAGCGGCGACACCTCGGGCCAGAAGCGCGAGCCCTAGGCTGGTGAGGGGGCCCGCTCATGGGTAAACGGCTCTGGGACTTAGCTAAATCGCGCATCGAAATCGCGACGATTTTGCCAGGGCACCGTCACAAGGTGACCACCCGCTGACGAGCGCTCGCGGAACTGGTCCGCGGCCCCCGCCAGGGGCGTGCGCGAGACAGGGCTCGAAGCCCTTTTCTGTGAGCAGGGATTCCCTCCCGGCGGGGGTTGTGGCGGAGAGCCGGCATTGGAATCGCCGGCCCCCACCCAGGGGGTGCCCCTGCCAGGCGCCGCAAGCGGTGCCCGACAGGGGCGGGTGCCCCCACCCCGAGGGGTGGGGGCCGGGGTCGGGGCCCAAAGTGATTCGGCCTCTCGCCTCGGCTCAAATTTTCTCTTCGGCTCGCTCCGCTCGCTTCTGTGCGCAAGAGCCGGGCCTCGCACGCCTGACGCCGGCGGCTCCTGGCCCTACTCTATGCAGAGAACCCATGACACACTCGCGTAATATGCTGTCGCCCACCGCTCGCATCATGCACTCAGCACGCACTCAGCATGTAAGTGGCCTGCCGTGCTCTTCATCCTCAGCCAGCTCTCGCAGCCACCTCGGCCGTATTGAGCGGCGGCGGATTGAGGGGCTGGATGTGTCTTTGGGGGAGCGCCAGGATGCGCGACGGTCTGCTCGTGGCCCGCCCGGTAGGAGGCCAGACCAGACGGGCTCGTCCCACTGACGCGTCAGCATACGCTTTGCTGCAATGACCGCATCTGGCGTTGCGGCGGCCACAGACCGTCTGGCAATGTGCGGCAAGCGGCGGCGGTATTGCGGCGGACATGTGGCGCTGCAGCGGCACCGTGGGCTCGAGAGAGCCCCGCCAGTGTCAAACTGGCATACGATACCATCACACAAGATAGCAGACGAGAACGGGGACTCGGGCGCCTGGGGGCGCGAGGGTCCGACACACGAGTTATACGCGCCCGGACGGACGTAACGATCCGGCCACATCGCGTCACGTTCCACACCTTACGGTGGGAGTTATTCTATGTCGGTTCCTCTCCTCGCGTTGTTGGATAACCTACATAGCCGCTGCGCGGCTATCTCCGAATAGCATATGCGCCGAGTGCGCACACTGGGCCCACATAGATGTGACCCGCCCACTCGAGCGCGGCGCCCGGATGCTAGTGCTTGAGAAGACACCACAAACGCGGCACGGCCCGTTTTGGATGTCTGCGGAGATTCTGTCTTAGCACACACAGTGAGTCATTCGGAGTAATTCGATGGCCAGAGTGCGATTGTGTGTGTGCGGGAGTTGGTCTGTCCACACACACACACACACACACACACACACACACACACACACACACACACACACACACACACACACACACACACACCGCTCACCCACGCGCAACGAGCCTTGCACTTTGAATGCCGTGGGGCTCCTGCCCGTGTCCGGGTGTGGAGATGCGAGGGTTGCCCCCCCTTGCCCCACCACCTCGTGTGTGTGGAGAAGTTTACCGGGTTGTTGCACGAGTATATGGGACACGATGTCTCAAATATGAGGGGTTTTGACTCCTACCGGCTCCTGACGCTATCCCTGGCAGCTCTAATGACCAGGATCAGTAGTGCTATAATAGAGGGTGCCCATACTAGCGCAGGAGCTGCCACACTCGCCCGGACCGTCCCCTTCTGGGTCCGGTTCCGCAGCCCGAGAGCCGACAGCGGGGCCGTGCCGCGGGTGCCTACTGCCGAGTGCCACAAACACTGCGCCGTCCCGCCATCACCTACAGGCTGTCTTGTGTGATGGTTGGGATGTCCAAACGCCACCATCTTGGCTCATGCGACCTCAAACCCGCGAGCTGTATGGGTGGTCCTGACATCGACAGACGCCCGAGGACCACGGTGAAGCTGAGCTGGAACGAGTCGACAAGTCTCGTCTGAGCCCGTGGCGGTCGCCGGCTGAGTCGCTGTGCACGGACCGGTACCTCAGGCGTCACCTCCGCAGCCTCAGGTCTCACACTCCATCACCTCCGCCGGGACGCCGTCGGTGGCACGCTCGGCGGCGAGTTTGTTGCAGCCCCACAGCGAGCGCGGCGTCGAGCCTAATCGGTCTGGTCGGTCGGCCGCACTCCCTGGGTGCCAGGGAGTGCGGCCGACACGCGAGCGGTGCTTCCTGGCAGCGCGCGCCGGCTGTGGGGCTGCAACAAACTCGAGACACGCTTTTTTGGGACATTTTCGACGCTTTTGTCCCATATACTCGTGCAACAACCCTACCTTACCTTACCTTACCTTGTCGGGACCGACGGGAGGGAGGGGCAGGCTGCTCACCCACGTGCACCGGGCCAGTGCTTGCACTTTGAATGCCGTGGGGCTCCTGCCCGTGTCCGGGTGTGGAGATGCGAGGGTCGCCCCCCCTGCCCCACCACTTTGTGTGTGTGGAGAAATTTACCTTAGACCTTACTTTACCTTACCTTATGCCGCCAGCTCCGTCTGGGTCACGGGTCTGCCCAAAACATTCAAACGCCAGGGTCGTAGTAAACAAGAAAGCTGGATGCCCATGTGCATCTAATCACGACTCCGCTTCGGGCCTCTCTCCGCCGCGATCTCGCGCCGTTGACACCAGAGCAGGCTCAGCAGCGCGCAGGCGCACAGCAACGCAGTCAACAACGGTGTTGCTCCTATTGTGGCGGCCCATGCTGTCAAGAGCCGGAGCGACGCGTCATCTGCTGGTGGTGGCGATGATAGCACCACGGGTAGTGTCCTCTGCTGGCGCGCGACTCTGAACTCTGTGAGCGCAGCCGTCATGTTGCGCTCAGCTATGCTGAAGGCTCGCATGCGAGTAAGAAGATCCTCGAGTTCGCCGAGCCCGCTGTCCGCCATGGCGACGGACACCTTGATGGAAAAGCCGTGCCGAGCCGAGTCGTCTGGCGGAAAGCGAGCGAGCTGTGCTCCACGCCGACTCGCGCGAAATAGTGCTTTGTTTGGTCTGTCACTTTCTTTTTATTTTGAGAGCGCCTTCGTTGTTAATAGTACAAACTTTCTTTTTTCTACGGTATTAGGCGGCGAAATTCTTTGCTGCTCACCGGCCGTCCCTTATCTCTCTTCGCCTGTGTTGAAGTGCCAGTGCGCGCCAGTCCCGTGCGCAGTGTCGTCGTGCGAGGGCACCGGGGATCAGTTTCCACTCCTCTGAGGCTGCCGATCACCTAAACGCACCGTGTGTCGACGGGCGACACGTGTGTGGAACCGGGCTCAAAAAAGCGCATTTGACCGTGACCGCTGTTCTTCACCTTCCGTGTGTGTATCGCGCGCCTTGCGGGGCGGGGCGCGGAAAAGAGGAACCTCTTAGCGCCATCGCCACGGTGCTGCATGCAGCGCCGGGCGACGACGGCGTACCGCCTCCCGGTCCCCCTCGGCACACCTCCGCTGCTCAATGTTTGACGGCTCGAACCCGTGAAGCTTCCCCGTGCGCGGGTTACCCCGCACACGGGTCAGCCTGCCAGCCACGTATCCACGCAAGCGTGGTCCGCGTGCATGGCTTCCTACATACACACATGTATGACCGTGCGGGTTTCTTGAACTATGTTGTTCGGCCGCGCGCGGTTGGCATTGTGACGAAGGGTGCGCGCGGCCGCGGCGCGCCCGCCATGGTTTGGCGCGGCGCGCCTACCAGCGGCAAATGTCGAGGCACGGGAACGCTTACCCGGGGTCATCCTCTCACTGAGCCTGGTCGTCGGCGCCGCGATGCCACGGCGGCGCATTCGACGTCGTCGGCGCGCTGCCCCGCGTTGAGCCCCGCCGCTCGTAGCGACGGCCGCAGGTCGGCCCGGTGCAGCGCGCCCTGGCCGCAGACTGAAGAACGGCCACGAGGGGTGTGTGATGTGCGGAGCGGGGTGTGAGGGGGCAGCGTCTTTGTGTGTGCGCGCGCGCGCGCGCGCGCCGCTGCCGCTCGTGGCTTGAACTGCCCGCGCTGTCCCTGCCTTGTGTGCGAGAGAGGAAGATGGGAGGTCGGCCTTGAGAGCTTACGGGGGGTTCCCCGCGCCAGAAGCTCTGCCTCTCTTCTCGAAGATTGAAGTGAGGGATAGGGGCGGGGATCCTCCCTCTCCATGCCGTCGATGCCGGGGTTCAACCAATCCGGAGAGGTCCTTACCATTCCTCCATACACACTACCCGGCTTCATCGGCGGGCGTCTGGGAGTGTGTCGTCAACTGGCCGGTGGTCTTTCAGTGTGGTGGGGTGGGTTTCGTGACCGTTCATCGTCGATGCCGCCTTACTTACCTGTTCCCCGCTGGCGCGACCCCGCGCCGGCCAGCGGAGCCATTGCCCGCTCGGTCACCACCCCCGCCGGCGCGACGCGATCCGATCTGCGCCGACACCGACGGGGCCGCCGGCACGGAGTAGATTCCGTCGCTGCCGGTCGGGGGGTGCTGGTCTGGACATGGGCGACGCGACCACTGCCGTGCTCCAATGACAGAGGCCCGGTCACTGCAAATGGTCGCGCCGCCCCGCCCTGCGTCGCCCGCCGCCGCGCCGCGCCGCCGCCTCGCGCCGCCATGTACCGTGCCCAGCACCACGCCGCACCTATTTTGGAGTGAGGGCCGTAGCCCCAAGTGACCCACCTCGCGCGCTTTCTCTGGCCTGTCTGTCTGATCTTAGATCGTTATCTTGAGGAAAATTGGTGTGGCGTCGCGCGGCCGCCCGCGAGGGACCGCGGGGGGGGTGTTAGCGGGATGGGGGGCTCTAAAAGGAGAAGGGAGCGGGGGCAGTCGGGCACACCGGCACCCCAGCGTAGAGTTTGTGTACATGTGCCCTCTTTGGTACTGGAGTAAATATCAACGCCTCGCTCGACGCGCTCTACGACGGGGGCTCGGGGTACGGGTGGGATTCCTCTTTGGCGGGCGGCGCCTTCTTCTAGGCGCCCTTGACCCAGCATAGAGGGCCTCGTGAGTCCCGCTTTTGGTACTCGCTTAGTGTGGGTAAATTCGCCACACGAAACCGACGAGGCGGAGCTCGATGCGGTGTCTGAGCTGGAGGCGGAGGAGGCGGAGGAGGACGAGGAGGGCGAGGAGGAGTGACTAGCGCGCGTCCTCCGCCCCCGTACGCGTGTGTGTGTTGAGGTGGTGCGAGAGCCATTTGCGTGCGTGAGCGGTGCGGCCGGGTGTGTGAATGTGAACCGTGGGCCACTTGTGTTGAGGGATGGCAACCCATGTGGGTGCCTACGTGTTTCGTTCGAGCTAACGCACCTTGTTTTGCAGTTTCTATGCCGTGCTATTCACTTCCAAAATCGACCCCCGGGACCCCGACCGACCTAGCTACTGCCGGCTCGACCCCACGATAGCCTCCGAAGGCTGACTTTGCGGCACCATCATCGGACGATGTCGACGAGTTGGGTCGCTCTCGCGGTAGCCAGATGACCTCTCTTCCTAGGAGCATCGGCCATGGCCGCAGGGAGCGCGGGGGAGGGCGCTGGAAGCAACACGGAGCTCCGTTGGAGACGTTTTCAAGATTAGCGTGTCAGAGTGAAATGGCACTAGCCTCGACGGCACCCTCCTGCAGACCGTGACGGTCCACGCCACGCGACGGGCGGGCCCGCCGATCTGTGCATATCTAGACATAGCCCACGACCGATTGTTCTGCCTGTGCGCGGTGGAGCCGGAGGAGGAGCTCCTGTTTGAGCCGGAGGAGCTGGAGAGCGGCGGCTTCGATGCGCTGTGCAGCTTTCGCCTCGTCGGCCCAGCAACACACTTCTAGCGCGTCGAGTCACACAGCACATTCAACATCGACCGCCTAGTCGACCGCGCGTGAGTCGTCCTTGCTATCTGGCTGCGCTCTCCTTCAGCCTGTCTTGCGTGTGGCGTTCACCGTGGACATAGCGCATCCGACTCCAGCCTTCGACGTACAACGAGGGCAGCCTCTCACTGGCGTGACGGTCACTGGGTCCGGAGGGTGCCGGTGGCAAGTGGAAGCTCGGTGCCGGCGAAGCAACGCCAGGGACCGCCGGCGTCTCTGCCGTCAGCGCGCCGCCCCCCCACCCTCGGCGTTGGCCCTCGCCTGCAGCCGCGCCTGTCTCCCCGCGCGCAGCTGCCGCTCGGCGGCGGCGGCGCGCTCCGCCGCAGCGCCGGCGCTTCCGACGGCCACGCAGCGGAGGGAGAGGGTGGCATGCGACGCTCCTGCTCACAGCGCCAGGGCTGTGAAGAGACGCCGCTCGCCGCAGCGGAGGGCGAGGGAGGAACGCGACGCGCGTAGCCACGAGGCGGAATTGTCCAGGGTGAGGCAGACCTAGGGGAGATTGCGCGAGATTGCGCGAGATTGCGCGAGATCGCGCGAGGTTGCGGCGAGGCAGACCTAGTGAGGCCGCTTGAACGGAGGATGGAATCTCGCGCAGTCTCGCGCAATCTCGGCCGATCTCGGCCGCAATCTCGGCCGATCTCGGGGTCATCGCGCGCATCAGAGACTTGCATCTGCGGTGGGGTCCACAGCTTGTGTGTTAACTTGGACTCGGTCCTTGCCGCGCTCGTCCTCTGCGCATGTCCCTCCCGCGACCTCCCGCGATCTCCCGCCACCTCGGTCAATCTCGGGCAATCTCGGGTCGATCTCGGCCGTATCTCGGCGCCATCTCGGCGCACCTCCCCCGCCGACAGCTCCAGCCGGCCGGCTGCGCCAGAGGGCGAGGCGACGTGTCGTGCGAGGACAGCCGAGGCCGAGGAGACGGTGAAAGGAAGAGTGCGCGCGGCCGTCGAGACTGCATACTCGAGCACCTGTTGAGATACGGGGAGATGTCGGGAGATGTGCGGGAGATGTGGCGAGACCGCATACTCGAGCACCGCGGGCTCTTCGAGAGCGACGGTGACGGAGTGCGCGTCGCCCGCTGCGACGGCGAGGGAGCGCCGCTCCTCCACCGCGCCCTCCTCCCCTCCCCCGCCCGCCCCCTCCTCCCCTCCCCCGTCGGTGGCGGAGGCAGCGGCGGAGGCGGCGGCGGAGGCGGCGGCGGCGGCGGCGGCGGCGGCGGAGACGGAGGAGGCGGCGGCGGAGGAGGCGGAGGAGGCGGCGGCGGAGGAGGCGGAGGAGGCGGAGGCGGAGGCGGAGGCGGAGGCGGGTGCGGGGAGGGCGGCGGCGAGCTCAAAGCTTGCTGCGAGAGTGAGGGCGTCGAAGACAGGCAAGCCTAATCGATGTGGCGTGGGGAGGAATCAATGAAGTGTGGGGCTGCGAGGGTGAGTCCGTCGAAAAGCAGACAAACCTAACCAATGTGGAGTGCGATCAATGAAGTGTGGGGCTGCGAGGGTGAGGGCGTCGAGAAGCAAGCAAGCCGGTGGCGGCGCGGAGGGCGTCCGCGTGCGGCGACAGCTGCGGAGACTCGAGCAATATGCCGCCGACCTGCGCTCACAGCCAGAGGCGTGAGGAGGCGCCGTTCACAGCTGCGCAGACTCGAGCAGTATGCCGCCGACCGGCGCGTGCAGCGAGCGGGACCGCAGCAGGCAAGAGACCTTCGCGAGGAGGGACGCGCGCACACCGCCTCCCCCTCCTTCTCCGCTGCCCCCGCCCGCCCCCTCCTCCTCCTCCTCCTTCCCCTCGGCCACCCACTCAAACACGGAGCACCCGGCCAGCGCCTCGGCAGCCAGCCTCGCCCGCCACGGCGGAGGGAGGCAGAGGCCCCGATCGAGCAGTTCTGTCAGCAGCGGCTGACTGCCCACCGCCGCCGCGCCAGCCGCGAAGCCTACGGAAGGTTCCCGGAAGATGCCTCGAGGGCTGCTGGAAGGTGCCTCGGCGCGTCAAGGGCGACGCCGGTCGTGTCGACGAGGACCTAATTAATTAACTCATTCATCAAGTAATTCAATGAGTAATTAATTAAGAGACGCCGGTCGTGTCGACGAGGACCTAATTAATTAACTCATTCATCAAGTAATTCAATGAGTAATTAATTAAGAGACGCCGGTCGTGTCGACGAGGACCAGTAGCGACTCGTGCGGCTGCTGCGCGGCGAGCACGGCGGGCGCTTGCAGCAGTGCGCTCGGAAAGAGGCGAGGCGAGGCGGAGGCGGAGGCGGAGGCGGAGGCGGAGGCGGAGGCGGAGGCGGCGGAGGCGGCGGCGGCGGCGGCGGTGGCGGTGGCGGCGGTGGATGCGGCGGAGGCGGATGCGGCGGTGGTAGAGACGGCGGAGAGGAGCGAGTCGGAGTCGCAGAGAGCAAAGAGGGCGTCGTACGCGATGCCTGGTTCTCAATGACGCAGCTGTTAATCAACTGCGCAGTGTTAGTATGGAGAGAGAGCGCCGTAGCCGACGCCTAACAGTTAATTATTAATCATCAACCAACTGCTCGTCGTAGTACGAAGAGGCATCGTCGCGCGATGCCGAGGAGAGCGTCGCCGTGCGCGGCCTGCAGCGACTCGACCGCCGCGCGCAGCTTCGCCCGCACGCCGGCGGAGCGCTTCTCTCGCTCGCGGCTGCCCTCGCGCGACGACCGGACGGCGTGCAGCGCAGAGTCGGTGACGCCGGTGTTGGTGTAGGCGAGGATGAAGCCGGCGGAGCCGCATGTCGTCGCCGTCGCCGCGCCGCCGTGGTCAACGCACAGCACGCCGAGCACGGGAAGCGACTGAGGCGGCTGCGGCGCGTCAATGGCGTCCGCCCGCTCTGCCGGAGGAGGAGCGCAGGCGGAGGACACCGTCGTGGGAGGGTCCGGTGTGGGCGCGGAGGGAGCGGGCGGAGAGGGTGGAGGGGGTTCGTCGCGGAAGAGCCACATCGGCCCCCCAGCGCCGCTTGTGCCGAGAGAGAGCCTGAAGAAAAACACTTGCGCGCAGCCGACACGCGAGCTGCCCCTGATTCACAGTACCGCACACCCTTGCGAGCGAAAATCCTCTTGCCACACGAGGCCCTCTACGCTGGGGTGCCGGCGCCCAAGCTGATGGCCTCCCACCGCATCGGCGCCCGCGTCGCGGGCCTCTCGCCAGCGCAGCTGTGCGCCATCATCGAGGCGCAGGCGGGCGCGAGCGACGCCGCGCTGCGCGTGGCGGACGAGCACGCCACACGGCTCGTGGAGCAGCCCGAGTGGGTGCTCTCCGAGGTCCTCCTCTCGCCGGACCTCGTAAAAGAGCGGGGGGGGGCCAGCGGCCGCACGTCGCACCCCCGGCGCCGAGCCGCTGGCCCGCCGCCCCAGCTATCCAGCGCACAACCCCCGGTGGCTCGTGCGACGTGCGGCCGCTGGTGGCGCGACACGCGGCCTCCGGCGGCGATTCGCCGCGGCCTCTCCGGCGGTGCGGTGTGTTTTGTGTGCGTTTTCGAAGGCTGTGGGCGGGATAAGGCCGGCTAGCGGATAGGGCGTAGGGACTCAAAAGAGAAATTTACCTTACCTTACCTCACCTTATCTGATACCTTTCCTCCGCCGCGCCGCGTGGGGCTCCCTTCATCCGCCGCGACCCCCAGAGGCTCTGAGAGTTGGCTCTGCCAGAGGCCGGCGACGCCCTCGACGCCCGCCAATCGGCACGAGCGGTGGCATGCTTGTCCCAGTCCATCCAACAGAGAGGCTTTTCCTCTGGCTGCTCGGCCGCGCCCGATCCTCCGACGCGCGACCGCCCCGCAGGGCGCAGGCTCATGCTTCCCGGTCATACCTCGCCCCCTCCGCCTCGAGACGGGCGAGGCGTGTGCCTGTTCACAGCTGCAAGTGTGAAGAGACGCCGTTCACAGCTCCCTCCGCCTCGAGACGGGCGAGGCGTGCGCCTGTTCACAGCTGCAAGTGTGAAGAGACGCCGTTCACAGCCCCCTCCGCCTCGGGAGGGGCGGGGCGTGTGCCTACGAGATATGGGGAGATATGGGGAGATATGGGGAGGTATGGGGAGGTATGGGGAGATATGTGTTTTCGTCGTCTAGAGGCGTGTGCTGCGCGCGGAAGAGGTCGTTAGCGATGAGGATGCGCAGGTCGTTGACGTTGAGGTTTTCGCGCTCAAACGTGAAGGCGGCCTCGATCTCGGTCTCGTCGCTCGGCGGCGTGACGGGCGGGCGCGAGGGCAGCGCGTCGAAGTAGGCGTGCTCGAGCGCCGCGGCCGCGTCGGGGCGTTTGGTCGGGTCCAGCTCGAGCAGAGAGGCGAGCAAGTCCACCTCGCACGGGTTATTATTATTATTATTATTATTATTATTATTATTATTATTATTATTATTATTATTATTATTATTATTATTATTATTATTATTATTATTATTGTTATTATCATGGCCAGCAAGTCCACCTCGCACGGGGTAGCGACCGGGCACGCCTCGGTCAGGTACTGCCGCCGCTGCCTCTCGCGCCCCTCCGCCTCTAGACTTGACCAGCCGCGGCACACTCGCTCCACCTCGGCGCGCGACGTGGCGCTCGCCCAGCCGAACTCGGAGACGGTCGGCGGCGCGAGAGTGCGGCAGATGACGGCGAGCTGGTCATGTCGGTGCCGCACCTGTGGGAGAGATGGGGAGATGTGGGGAGATGTGGGGAGATGTGGGGAGATGTGGGGAGATGTGGGGAGATATGGGGAGATGTGGGGAGATGTGGGGAGATGTGGGCAGATGTGGGCAGATGTGGGGAGATGCGGGGAGACGTGGGGAGATGTGGGGAGATATGGGGAGATGTGGGGAGGTGTGGGGAGATGTGGTGAGATGTGGTGAGATGTGGGGAGATGTGGGGAGATGTGGGGAGATATCGGGAGATGCGGGCAGATGTGGGGAGATGTGGGGAGATATGGGGAGATGTGGGGAGGTGTGGGGAGATGTGGTGAGATGTGGTGAGATGTGGGGAGATGTGGGGAGATGTGGGGAGATATCGGGAGATGCGGGCAGATGTGGGGAGATGTGGGGAGATGTGGGGAGATGTGGGGAGATGTGGGGAGATGTGGGGAGATGTGGGGAGATGTGGGGAGATGTGGGGAGATGTGGGCAGGTGTGGGGAGATGTGGGGAGATGTGGGGAGATGTGGGGAGATGCGGGGAGACGTGGGGAGATGTGGGGAGACGTGGGGAGATATGGGGAGATGCGGGGAGATCGCACCTGCTCGTCGGCGTCGTCGAACGAGAAGGGGATGCAGTACCGACCTAGACACTTCCTAGCCACTTCCTAGACACTTCCTAGACACTTCCGAGAAGGGGATGCAGTACCGACCGGGGAAGAGGGCGCCGGTCCGGAAGCGAGAGCCTACGTGCCGAGGAACTCCTCTCTCACTCCCGGGTATGAGCTCTGAATAGATCTACGTACTCCGGTCCGGAAGCGAGAGCCGAAGTACCAATGAACTCGTCACTCACTCCTCTTGGGATTGATTCTCAATACGAATCCGGTCCGGAGGCGCGAGCCGGGCGTATCTCCCCACATCTCCCCATATCTCCCCATATCTCGGAGGCGGCGAGCCGGGCGTTAGCTCGAGCAGCTCCTTGTAGATACAGCCGGCGTATCTCCCCACATCTCCCCACATCTCCCCATATCTCGGAGGCGGCGAGCCGGGCGTTAGCTCGAGCAGCTCTTTGTAGATACAGCCGGCCGACCAGATGTCGATCGCCGAAGAGTACGGCTCCTGCGGGCGAGATTGCACGAGATTACCCGAGATTGCACGAGATTACGACCAGATGTCGATCGCCGAAGAGTACGGCTCCTGCGGGCGAGATTGCACGAGATTACCCGAGATTGCACGAGATTACGACCAGATGTCGATCGCCGAAGAGTACGGCTCCTGCGGGCGAGATTGCACGAGATTGCACGAGATTGCACGAGATTGCCCGAGATTGCCCGAGATTGCCCGAGATTGCCCGAGATTGCCCTCGCGCGGCTCCTGCAGGATGATCTCCGGCGCGCGGTACCAGCGCGTGACCACGTACCTACCCAGATATGGCCGAGATATGGCCGAGATATGGCCGAGATATGGCCGAGATACAGCCGGCACACAGACGAGATGCAGCCGGGATACGGGAGAGAGCGCCCGCCACTGCTCCCCTCCCACTCCACACCGTCCAGCAATCTCGAGCAATCTCGAGCACTCTCGAGCACTCTCGAGCAATCTCGAGCAATCTCGCGCACTCTCGAGCACTCTCGAGCACTCTCGAGCAATCTCGAGCAATCTCGAGCAATCTCGCGCAATCTCGCGCAATCTCGCGCAATCTCGAGCACTCTCGTGCACTCTCGAGCACTCTCGAGCAATCTCGTGCAATCTCGAGCAATCTCGTGCAATCTCGCGCAATCTCGCGCAATCTCGAGCAATCTCGCGCACTCTCGAGCAATCTCGAGCAATCTCGAGCACTCTCGCGCACTCTCGAGCACTCTCGAGCAATCTCGAGCAATCTCGAGCAATCTCGGCGCGTACGTGGTCATCTGGTGCTTGAGCGGCGGCGGCCGCGGCGCGGCGCCGCCCGACTCGCTGCTTGCCGGGCTGCTTTCGTCCTCATGCTCCACCTCTGAGCCGGCCAGCCGCTCCTACTCAATAGCCACCTCGCAGTCATTCCTCAGGAGGGCATCCGCCCCACCGCTGAGCCGGCCGCCGGCCACTCCTAATGAACTTAGCATGGACAGTGATGAACAGCTCGCCTCAGAGCCGAAACTGCGCTACCCCAGAGGGGGGGGGGGGGAGAGCCCACTGACGCCAACTCAGAGCCGAAACTGCCGCCACGCCCTCCGCGGGCAACCCCGGCTAGATCTCGACTAGATCTCGGCTCGATCTCGACTAGATCTCGGCTCGATCTCGACTATATCTCGGCTCGATCTCGACTATATCTTGGCTCGATCTCGACTAGATCTCGGCTAGATCTCGGCTAGATCTCGACTATATCTCGGCTCGATCTCGGCTCGATCTCGGCTAGATCTCGGCTAGATCTCGGCTAGATCTCGACTACATCTCGGCTCGATCTCGGCTGGATCTCGGCTAGATCTCCCTCCGCGAAGTCGCGTCGTCGTCCACCGTGCGCGCGAGGCCTACCCGAGATTGCTCGAGATTCTAGCCGAGATTGCTCGAGATTCGTGGAGGGTGTGGAGCGGCGCAAGGCTGTTTCTCGACTATCGTCTCTGTCCCCGTCGACATCCCGTCGACATCGCGTCCATATCTCGTCCATCTCTCGTCCATATCTCGTCCATATCTCGTCGATCTCTCGGCCATCTCTCGTCTATATCTCGTCCATATCTCGTCGATCTCTCGGCCATCTCTCGTCTATATCTCGTCCATATCTCGTCGATCTCTCGGCCATCTCTCGTCTATATCTCGTCCATATCTCGTCGATCTCTCGGCCATCTCTCGGCCATCTCTCGTCCATATCTCGTCGATCTCTCGGCCATCTCTCGTCTATATCTCGTCCATATCTCGTCGATCTCTCGGCCATCTCTCGTCTATATCTCGTCCATATCTCGTCGATCTCTCGGCCATATCTCGTCTATCTCTCGCCAAAGTCGCACAGCTTGAGCACGTCTGCGCCGTTCTGCCGCGAGATGAGGATGTTCGCCGGCTTGAGGTCGCGGTGTATGCCTAGGAAATGTGTAGGAGCTGTCTAGGAGATGCCTAGGAGATGTCTAGGAAGCCGGCTTGAGGTGGCGGTGGATGCCTAGGAAATGTCTAGGAAATGCCTAGGAAATGTGTAGGAGCTGTCTAGGAGATGCCTAGGAGATGTCTAGGAGATGTCTAGGAGATGTCTAGGAGATGTCTAGGAGATGTCTAGGAAGCCGGCTTGAGGTGGCGGTGGATGCCTAGGAAATGTCTAGGAAATGCCTAGGAGATGTCTAGGAGATGTCTAGGAAATGTCTAGGAGATGTCTAGGAGATGTCTAGGAGATGTCTAGGAAGCCGGCTTGAGGTGGCGGTGGATAGGACGTGTCCTCCCGGGCGCTGCTTGGGAGACAAGAGCCCGCTTCTAGGCCGTCATACCCCACGGAATGCGTGTCCTCGAGCTCTGCTTCTAGCGGTGTATGGTTGGGAGAAAAGAGTGCGTATTCCGCTTCTAGCGGTGCATGCCGTTGATGCCGTGCAGATGTGCGAGCGCCGCCAGCAGCTGCGAGGCACGTCAGAGGTGGCGTCAGAGTTCGCGGGCATGAGCCGCGACACGTTTCGTCATAGTGTGAGCCCTGGGCCCACTCGCTCCCCCCGCGCCATGTAGGAGCGGACGCAATCTCGGGCAATCTCGGGCAATCTCGGGCAATCTCGGGCAATCTCGGGCAATCTCGGGCAATCTCGGGCAATCTCGGGCAATCTCGGGCAATCTCGGGCAACCTCGGGCAATCTCCCCACCTGCGCCATGTAGGAGCGGACGCAATCTCGGGCAATCTCGGGCAATCTCGGGCAATCTCCCCACCTGCGCCATGTAAGAGCGGACACTCTCCACTGCAATCTCCTGCTTCGACTTGATCTTTTTGCGCAGGTCGGCCTGTTAGGGTTGGGGGCAGGGTGAGGGTGAGGGTGAGGGTGAGGGTGAGGGTGAGGGTGAGGGTGAGGGTGAGGGTGAGGGTGAGGGTGAGGGTGAGGGTGAGGGTGAGGGTGAGGGTGAGGGTGAGGGTGAGGGTGAGGGTGAGGGTGAGGGTGAGGGTGAGGGTTAGGGTTAGGGTCAGGGTCAGGGTCAGGGTTAGGGTCAGGGTGAGGGTGAGGGTGAGGGTGAGGGTGAGGGTGAGGGTGAGGGTTAGGGTTAGGGTTAGGGTTAGGGGAGGGGAAGGGTTAGGGTTAGGGTTAGGGTTAGGGTTAGGGTTAGAGTGAGGGGAGGGGAAGGGTTAGAGTTAGGGCAAGGATAAGGGTCAGGGTCAGGGTGATCTTCTTGCGCGGGTCGGCCTCCATGAAGTCAGTGACGACGAACTTAATTAACGAACTAATCAATTCCAAAAGAACTAGTCGAATCATTGTCGGCCTCCATGAAGTCAGTGACGACGAACTTAATTAACGAACTACTCAATTCCAAAAGGACTAGTCGAATCATTGTCGGCCTCCATGAAGTCAGTGACGACGAACTTAATTAACTGATTAATCAATTCCAAAAGAACTAGTCGAATCATTGTCGGCCTCCATGAAGTCAGTGACGACGAACTTAATTAACGAACTAATTAATTCCAAAAGAACTAGTCGAATCATTGTCGGCCTCCATGAAGTCAGTGACGACGAACTTAATTAACGAACTAATTAATTCCAGAACTAGTCGAATCATTGTCGGCCTCCATGAAGTCAGTGACGACGAACTTAATTAACGAACTAATTAATTCCAAAAGAACTAGTCGAATCATTGTCGGCCTCATCAGTGACGACGAACTTAATTAACGAACTAATCAATTCCAAAAGAACTAGTCGAATCATTGTCGGCCTCCATGAAGTCAGTGACGACGAACTTAATTAACGAACTAATTAACGAACTAGTCGAATCATTGTCGGCCTCCATGAAGTCAGTGACGACGAACTTAATTAACTGATTGATTCATTCCAAAAGAACTAGTCGAATCATTGTCGGCCTCCATGAAGTCAGTGACGACGAACATGTCCTCGAAGGTCTCGAGGGAGGAAGGCGGGATCAGCTCCCGCAGCGCGATGATGTTCGGGTGCCTAGAAACAAGACAGTGTGATGAGATCAGAGACAAGACAGTGTGATGGTGTTCGGGTGCCTAGAAGCAAGACAGTGTGATGAGATCAGAAACGAGACAGTGTGATGGTGGTCGGGTGCCTAGAAGCAAGACACAGGACAAGTCGACCCTTCTGTGTTTCCGACGGGGAGCAGCGCCGCGGGGGTGGTGATGCTTGGAGTGGCTCCTGAGTTTGTGTGTCTGTGTGTCGCTCTAGGGTGACGTCGTCATCTGTCCAGCGTCCACCCATCCCGCGCCGGTGTCCAGTCCGAGCCCGTGGCTGCTCCTCGCCTTTCTATCTAATCTAATGCGCGTGTGGGTGCCGAAAGTCGCGGAGAAGCCGAATCTCTCGCAGCACCTTCTTGGCCTCGTGCGCGTCGTAGAAGACCTCGGCGATCCGCTTGATCGCCACCGTCTCTCCCGATGACACCTGCGCGCAGGCGAGGCGGGCACAGGGGAACGGGCTACGCCGTTGGCGGCGGCAGCGGGTGGCAGCGGGCAGCGATGCCGAGCAGCGGGGTCGCGCGGCAGGCTGCAAGCCGCAGTGAGCGCGCTGCGCCCTCGGGCTTCGGGCGGGGTGGCGGCGAGACCGCGCGGGCCGCTGCGGAGAGAGCGGCGGGCTGCCGGTGCGGGCGGGGTCCAACTCGCCTCGACCGCCCGCGCGACTATCGAGTAGGCTCCCTGGCCGGCGACGACGAGGTTGCGATATCGGCCACGCGCCTCCGGGCTCGCGCCCTTCCAGAAGGCCTCCTCGTTGATCTCGCCGCTCGGCATGGGAGGCCGAGCCGTGAGCGCTCGCTGTCGAGCACCCCTCCGGCGTCAGAGACGCAGGAAAAGAGAATTCGCGCGTGCACGCGACGCTCCGAGATCGCCCGAGATAGCGCGGCGCGGCCCCGAGATCGCCCGAGATAGCGCGAGATTGCCCGAGATCGCGCGGCGCGGCCCGGGGCGAGGTGGGTGGGTTGGGAGCGAGGGGGCGGAAGTGCTCAGTGCGGTAGATCGGTCAGTCGGGGCGTCAGACTAAAAAAAGAAAAGGGGTCAGCAACCATGTGTGTACGAGTAGAAAAGTGGATTCCGCGCCATAACAACTGTCTATTGCAATATGTGCGCGCTCCGCCCCCGGCCGCTGCCGCCGCGGATGCGCGCGGCGGCCGCGCGCTTGCGGCGCGGGCGGCGCGGGGGGCGAGGGCGGCGTGGGCGGTTTCGCCGGCGCTGGCGGGGGGGACGGTGAAGCCGGCGGGGGCGAGGGGTCCGATGCGCCGAGCGGCCGCGGCGGGAAGGGTGGCGCTGGTGGGGGGGATGGCGAACTTGGGGGCGGCATGGGGCTCGGACGACCTTGATGCGGCGGAGGTTTCTCGTAAGGACGTTGCGCATGCAGTCAGTCGGTCGCGGCGCCTCTGGCGCCGCCGCTGTGCCACCGTGCATTTTGGTGCATCGCTCGCACTGCTCCGCTTGGGCTTGGCCAGGGCGCTGCACGAACACTTTTGTCATGATGTGGGCCCGGTACAGGCCCGAGACCTCTGTGAGCCAGTTGCACGTCCTGCATGTGCCAAACATGCCCTCTGCGCAGCGCGCGTCAGCGTCGGCACTGCCCCAATTTCCGGTGGCGTTGGTCACGTCCACGTGCCAGAAGTCGACGGTGCTAGGCTCGCAGTTAATGGTCAGATTCAATCGTATCCTACTCGCTTTGCATACGGCGAGCTGCTGCAGGTCGACACGCGGGTTTGAGGCGTACTTTTGTTGCAGCGCGGCAAACGCGGACGGCAGCGGCTCGAACAGCAATGCCCGCCATCCCAGCTCGATGGCGGCCCTTGCTGGGTCGTGCGATGAACTCTTGGAGTGGTCGTTGGCTCCGACCTGCACGATGAGAGGGACCGGGTCATTGTCGCTCTCACGCGAACGGAATCCATGCAGCCACTGCAGCGTCGGGACACGCTGCGATTTGCTCAGGTTGACACTACTGAGGCGTTCGAGAAGCTCCGCTCGGTTTGTTCCAGCAGGTCCGAGGAGGAAAACTGTGAGCATCGACCGCGGACTTACCGGTAATCCATTGTTTGGCCTAGTTTTTCAGTGTATGTTGCTCTTACGAACATACCCGTAGGTGAACTGCTGACAGGGTTTGCGATGAGGAGCGATCCGAACGTGGTATTCGGGTGATTAGATCACTACCGCCGTTTTTTGTGAGCTAGCCTTCGATGTTAGGAAACAAAGCAAGGCGGAGGAATTTCTTTCTTGCTTCCTGCGCGGCCACGTTCCCCGTGATGCAAATGCCGTTGATCGGTCGGTGTCACGTTCTTGTGCGCACTTTTAGACACTGATGGCACCTGACTGCCAGACTACGCGGGACGTGAAGCGCGCCCGTCTTCGCTCGTCGAACACGCAGAATGTAAGACGACGACGGTCGGTGGTGGTCGGACAGCCCAGATGAGGCCGAAGCGATCTCTCCGTGCCTGGCCTCCCGCGATCCATCCATGTCAAAGAGGACTTGCGGTTCGGCACCGGAGGGCGGGTCTGGAACACTGCACGCGCCTTGGTTGGCCATCTGGCTGAGCATCCAGCCTTGATTTCGGAGAAGCGGCGCATCATCGAATTGGGAAGCGGCACTGGTCTTATCGGCATCGCTTGCGGCATGCTGCTCTCAGCCCACACAGGTGTGGATGGGCCGCGTGTTACTGTGACCGACATGGAGTCGGTGATGCCGTTCCTGCGGGAGAACATCGAATCCAACGGCGTAGTCGGCGCTGTTGAGGCAGCCCCGCTCTTGTGGGGAACGGACGTGAGTGACTTCGGAGCGCCCGTCGACGCAGTGCTCATGGCAGATGTCGCCTACACAGACGCGTACGCGGAACTGGCGGCCACGCTGGCAAGTCTGTGCGGCCCTGAGACACTCGTGCTGCACTACCTACTACACGACGCGAAAAAAAGATGTGGGGCAGTTGTTCTTTGACGAGATCAAGCGACTTGGTTTCACCACCGAAGCGTTCGTCATCGGATGGCCAGACGGCTGGGCAAATGGTATTACGCTGTACCAGCACCGCGCACCGCGCACCGCGCACCTTACTCACTAGTGAGTACGGTGAGTAGGCGAGTCACACGTATTGGCAAAGTCCACAGTGTTTCAAACCCTCCTCAAGTTTGCCCGGGTCCGCGTGCTGAGCGGCAGCTGGCCTCAGGCCCCGCGCCCCGGCCCTCGCCCAGAGCGAGCGTGACGCGTCAGGGCACAGGGGCGTACAGGGAGGAGGGGCGGTAGCCGGTAGCCGAGGCGCGACAATAAACGACGAAAACGTACATGTACTGCGTGTCGCGTGTCGATGGGGCGCGGGCGCGGGGTGGCGCGACCGGGGCCCACACACTGAGTGCCAGACCCACACGGACTCTAGTCTACACGCATCGGCATGCCCTCTCTACAAAACCACCGCTGTGCGGGCATGCACGACTTGTGGTACGTGCCCCCACATATGTGATCAGCGGAAAGTAATGCCGCTCGAGAGTAGCTCGCTACAACGGCGCGCACGCATTCCAGGAGACCTCGCCCTCTGGCGTCATTCTGCCGCTTGTTGCTCCAGGAGCCAGCGGTTGCCGTCTTTCCATCTGATGCCTTCCCAAGCCTCGCCATCAGCAGCCCTCGGGTGCCACCTGCCCACATGCACGCCGTCGCCGGCATCCACCTGCGGCACGCAGCGTTGACGCTATGATATAAATCTCGGGTGCTGCCTTCGCTGTTTGCTCGTTTGCGCGCCTGCTCGCCGTCACCCGAGATGCGCGCCTCGAAGCTCCAATCTCGCAGCCCGTACCGGGAGACGCTCTCCGCGTCGCAGGAGGCCCTGACGACATTGCCGACACCTATATTGAGAACATATCTCGGGCAGCGAGCCACGGAGAGGACAGCGAGAGGCAGCGCACCCGGTGGGCCGATGTCGTTGCCGGAGAAGGTGGCGAGGAAATAGTCGCCACCGCCGCTCTGCTTGAGGGCGCTGGTGTCCACGGCGATTTTTCGATCACAGAGAGGGTGAAGGAGGTCGGAGTACTCGCCCTCAAAACGCGTCGCCCTGAATCGGCCAGGCCCCAGTGCTGGCCGCAGTCCGGCGGCGAACGCGTCTCTGTTGGGCACAGCTAGCAAGGCGAGGGCGTTGGCTGCCAAGCAGCGCCTGCACATGGCGTCGGCCTTCATTCTACGACGACACGAGGAGAGGAGAGAGGGTTGGGCGCGCTCTTGAGCCGAGCTCCCACGCAACCCCCCCCCCCGAGAGAGAGAGGGAGAGAGAGAGAGAGAGAAACCGCGGCGGCTGCTGCGCGCACGCGGCGGCGCCGCTCTCTCGCGAGACGGCTGGCGACGCGGGTCGCCGCCGACGTACGGTGCGCTCGTCCGACGGTCCGCAGCGTGGCGTGCGCGGCGCTGAGCGCCGCTCTGCGAGCGCCTCTGCGCCTGCACTGCCTGTCTCTGTTGCTGGTGGTGGTGGTGGTGCTGCTGCTGCTGGTGCGGATGCTGCTGCTGGCGCGGCGCGGCTGTGCGACTGGGCTCGACGCGCGCGTCGCGAGCGTCTGACGCGGCGGGCGGCGTCGGGCAGGTGCGCTTCTCTCTCGGGTGGTGGTGGTGGTGCTGCTGCTGCTGCTGGTGGTGCAGATGCTGCTGCTGGTGCGGCGCGGCTCTCCGACGCGACTCGATGCGCGCGTCGTGGCTATCTGACGCGGCGGGCGGCGTCGCGGGCGGCAGCGGTGGCGGCTCGCGGGTGGAGGTGGAGGCTGGTGGCTGTGGTGGACTTTGAGTTTATTTCATGATGGACTACAAGGACTGGGGGTTCAGCCGGGAGGCAGGGGGTTCAACCAGGCGACGGAGGACCGTGGGCCATCGCGGGGACTGCTGCGTACGGAGGACGCGGCAGGCAGATCCGGATGGTCTCACGCCGGTGGGAGGCACCGAGGCGTCTTGGACGCTCAGCTCTAACTTAAGCTCCTGAGGGGCGCGTGGTTTTAACCACGTAGTAGGACTACAACCCACCACAGACACCCTCCCCACTCCTCACGTGTACACACTCCCTCACCCTCTCCTCTCTCCTCTCTCTCTCTCTCCTCTCTCTCTCTCCTCTCCTTGTCTGTGCTGTCTGCGTGACTCAGGCACTAACTCTGCCGATGCGTGATTGTGTGTGGGCTGCTCCGAGGGGGCCCTCTGTGCGATCCGACGGGTAGGGGGGCTGTGCCCGGGCGGTGTCCGGTGTGGAGTCCCCTTCTGATCCCGCCTGAGATGTTGGGTGTGAGGTCGTGGAAGCTTTGATCCCAAGGGGGGGAGCTGATCCCACTCAATAACCAGCTCTCAGGGGCAGTAGGTGGGCGAGCTTCAGGCACGCTCATCTCGATCGTCAAGACGTTGCTACGCGCGGTCTTCCGCGGGGGGAGCTGCGTCGACGGGTGCGGGACCGCGGCGCAGCCAGTGCCGCGGCGAGGCCTCCGGCTGTTTGCGGCGGGCGGCTTGCTGCTCGCTGCGATGGCGAAAAACTCGTCTCGCCACACGCCAAGGGCTTATGCTCTGGCGAGACGTGAGGCGCATGCGCCCAGGAGGGGAGGGGGCATGTGTAACGACACTGCTAGAGATGCCTTTCGGGGCCCAGAGATAAAACTTCTGTGATGCCATGCGTGACCTAGTAGTGTCCCCAGCTATGGGCGTGTCCACGTTGGAGCCAGGTGTGGTGTGGGCGCGAGAATAGCTCCGCCGTTCATGGAGGCAACCGATGCGAGTCGACTGGTGTGTGTCGTCGTGGTTTCGTATCAAGAATTCTCTCTCTCCCCCCCCCCCCCTTAGGTATATTGTTGGCCCCCTGGTCGGACTGTGTTTCGCCTTCAATCGGGGGGGCAGCCGCTCGACCGCTGCACCCGAGGGTTTTTTTACCAAGCTGCCAGCCCACTTCACGCACTCCGTGCACGCGGGCCCTGGCTGGGTTGGCGTCGCAGACCAAGAGCTTATCAAGGCCGACCCCCCTCTTCAGTTCAGATCACGAGCGGCAGCGGCGCGGAGCAAGCAAGGTGTGAGACACAACAATGTAATCCTTCCTTCTTATCCACCGACATGGAACCTCGTGCACCTGACTTACTTCCACTCTTTTCTTTCTACAATCGATGCTTTGAGGTAACAAACACAATTTGTTAAATTATAAAAAGGCTGCACGGCATGCAACCCAACACCCCCCCCCCCCCCACCACCACCACCACCACCCCGCTCCCCCGCCCGCCCTAGATGGTTAAGAAAGAAGAGTTACAGTCCACTGATAGGGTGGATGGTGCGTGAGTCAGAGATAGGATGCGTTGAGGACGATACCGAAGGGATTGTGTATCATTACTCGAGTAGTAATTAATTAACTAATGGGTCAATAGTGCTGATGGCGCGCGATACACACACAATCTCTCTCTACCAAAACACAGACGCCGTGAGAGAGTGGCCACTTTGAAAAATCGGTTCTGTTTCTTTCGTTTTCGGACTCGGAAGAATTCATGGCTAGGGATCTGTTCCCGGAGGCGTGAATCCTTTAGGATTCTCGCCCGCTCTGCTGAGGGGAGGGGACGGTCGACTGGGCCGGTCGCTCGACCCGATTCTACTCTACTCTCAGTCTACCATTCATGGACAATAGTGTCTGTGACGGCGGTCACATTCACAGCGAGGTCAGTTCACACTCAAGACAATGATTACTACATCATGCACGACCTCGAGCGTGCAACGCCGCACAGTGCTCAGGGTTCGAGCAGGTGCAGGCGAGTGGAGGGGCCCCTGGCAGAGGAGGCGTGAATCCTTTAGGATTCTCGCCCGCTCTGCTGAGGGGAGGGGACGGTCGACTGGGCCGGTCGCTCGACCCGATTCTACTCTACTCTCAGTCTACCATTCATGGACAATAGTGTCTGTGACGGCGGTCACATTCACAGCGAGGTCAGTTCACAGCCGAGCAATCGATCCTGACACGCTCCACTTTCAGGGCTCGCCGCGGCTCGAGCAAGGTCAATGGCGATCGGCATCTAGCCCGATCACTCGAGAGGGTTCACCCGGCTCTTCCACACCTTGGGTTCGTCCGGCTTAAACGCTGTTGTGGACAACGGGCGCGGCAAAGACGGCGCGCCTCTGCAGCGCCTCAACGGCGGCCGCGCAAAAGTCATCTCATGCACGTCGCCGCCTGAGGCCCCGCGAGCGTGCACTGTGGTCAGCACGACCCGCTCCGGCCCGAGACGGCCGACGCACGCGCTCTTCCACCTCTTCACCCGGAGCCGATTTATTTTTGTGGACGCAGAATTTAGTTGTTTTTGGGCGCGGCGATTTTTCTTTTGCGACCCCTCCCGACCCCTAGCCCTACCCCATCTTCCCGCGGGTCGGGGTGAGAGGGACGAAGCCTTGTCACACTCCAAGGGGCTGGTCAAAACCCCTCATACTTGAGACATCGTGTCCCATATGTACTCGCACAACGAGCCCGGGACCCGGGATAGAAAGAAAGTAAGGACTCGTTGATTGCTGTGTGATGTATATCGCGCGCCGTAGAGCCGTAGCTGCAAGGAAGTATGTGCTCTTTTGAGCCTATGCCGCGCCGCGCCCCACCGGCTCCGCCGCCTCAGGCAACTCGCGGCCGAATGGGCTCCCTCCCCCCCCGCCCGCGACCCGCAGGCAAGCGCGGAGCCGCAGCAGCTCGGCGTGCCAACTCCGCGCCGTGTGGGACACATCCGTCGCCGACGCGGCGGCGGCGGCGCGGAGCGCCGCGTAGGCGTCCGCGTCTGCGTGCAGCGCCGCCGCCTCCCGCAAGGAGAGGAGGAGGGGCATGTGCTGGCCGGCCTCGAAGAGCAGCCCGTTGCGCGCGGCGCCTGAGACAGAAAGACGCGCCCCGCGTCTGTCTCGTTTCGGGGCGTGTTTCTTTTCAAGCCCCGTGGCGCGCGGCGCCGGAGGGGCGGACTCGGTCTCGCATCCCTCCTAGTCCGCCAACCAAATGGCGACTCAGCTAACGGGTCCGGTTATGAGGAGGAGCTGACGCGGCCTCGCATCCCACCCGTCGCCGCGCAGACAAGAGGAGTGCCCGCCGCGAGAAACTCCTCCCCCACCTAACAGAAGGGGGGGGGGGGGGGGGGGGGGTCCCCGAAAACTCCGGGGAAAGGGCGCCTGCAGGGGGACATCGGGGACTTGTGCTTCTCCTTAAAAGGGGAGGTCCTCCCTGGACTCGGGCCTCTGCTTAGGGAGGGGCACAATCAAGGGCCCGGAGGAGGGGGCCCTCGTAACCGGGTCTGAATGAACTCCCAATCAATCACTCCTAATGAATCTCTTTATTTAGGGGGCCGTCGTAACCGGGCTCGAAATTGTGCACCAGGGGCACGAAAGCGGTGCCCCGCCACCGCTTCGGGCAGTTTCGCCCGCCGCCCGGGCTGGGGGGGCGCCCCCAGGTTTCTTGCCTCGGGTAAGGGGCCCCCAGGGGGGCCACCCAATTATTTTAAAAAAAGGCGGCGGGCCAAGCGGAAAAGCCCTCTAACAACAACAGGGGGCCCCGCGAAAGGAGGCTCGCGGACAGCAGCGCGTCGGCCGGGGAGCGGTGGGCGTACGGGGCACGGAAGTAGACGTCGGACTGGAGCAGGTAGACGCGGACGCCGCCTGGGACTGGAGTGAGCCGGGGTCGGGCCTGGCGCGGTCGGTGGACCGACGGACTGCAGCGGGGAGACGCGGACGCCGCCTTCCGTCGCCCCGTGCAGCACAGAGAGCGGCGCGTCGCCTACCTCGTCGTCCGCTTGGGTTCGGGTTCCGGGATCGGTAGGGTACCCCCTGCCCCCCCCCTCCGACGGCGGCTCGTCGCCTCTCGACGGCTCTAGCGGCACCGACAAGTCGAAGAGGTGGGCGGCGGCGTGCGGCGCGCCGCTGCTGCCGCCGCCGCGCGACGCGTAGTGGGGCAGCACCACGGATACACGCAGCCCACGAGCGGCCAGGGCGGCGGCCAGGTGAGCGACCTAGTCACAGCCGCAGGTGTGAAGAGGCGCTCTTCACAGCTGCGCGGCCGGCGGCCAGGTGAGCGACCATCGCCCCCAGACCGCCCACCGAGCCCCAGCCAGCGAGCTCGGGCGACACAAACACAACCTCTGGCGGGGGGGGGGCAGGCGGCATGCTGGGGAGATCCAGCGGCGGCGACGGCGGCGGCGAGCGTTGCACTGCCACTCCCCCCTCCGCTGCGCCACCCGCATTTGCTTTGCTCCTCGCTAGACGGCGCCGCCAAGCAGGCGTGTCCCGGAAACGACTCGGATGTGTCCCGGACATGTCCCGGAACCGTCTCGGACGTGTCCCGGGCATGTGCTTGCCTCCCGCGAAGCCGTCGCCGAGCAGAGAGAGCACGATCGCGGACACGCGTCCAACAGCCGCGACCGCCGCCTCCGCCCCCCGCACCTCCTCCTCCGCCACCGCCTCCTCCGCCACCTCCGCCTCCTCCTCCTCCTCCGCCTCCTCCGCCGCCTCCGCGCCACCCTTGCACTCTGGAGGGCTGCACCGCGCGACGTCTCCCGCCGGTGCCTCCGCCTCGGTCGCTCCAGTCACGTCCTCAACGCCCACACTGCCGCCTCCACTGCCGCCTCCACTGCCGCCTCCACTGCCGCCTCCACTGCCACCGCCGCCGCCGCCGCCCGCGCCGCCGCCGCCGCGGCCCTCCCAGCCTCCGTCGCCCTCCCAGCCGCAGCCGCCGCCGCCGCCGCCGCATGCAGCCTCGCCAGCAGGCAAGAGAGCCGACGGAGGGCGCGACGAAGGGTGCCGCGAGCGGACCTACCAAAGAGACTCACTCGTGCGACTCGGCGGCACTTCCCCCCTCACGGCCAGCCCGTGCGCTCGGCCGGCAGAGTGCCCAGTTCTGGTGAGTCTGTGTGTGTCTGTGTGTGTCGCTCCAGCGCGACGTCGTCTTCTGTCCAGCGTCCACTCCCCATACCGCGTTGGTGTCCAGTCCGAGCCCGGTGGCTGCTCCTCGCCTTCCCATCGATCTCTCCGCCTCAGACTGTGCCTCCGCCTCTCCAGCTAACTCGCGCACTCACTCACTACAACCAACCGGCAGAGTGGCGCGGCGGCGCTCTAGCCCCGCAGTGTCTGCGGCGGCGCCTGCGTCTGCGGCGGTGGCGTCTGCGGCGGCGGCGTCTGCGTCGGCGTCGGCGGCGGTGGCGGCGGCGGCGGCGGCAGCGAGGGACCGGAGCGACACGCGGAAGCGAGCGAGTGCTACCCCCTCCTCCTCCCCCCTCGCCTCCTCCTCCTCCTCCTCCTCCCCCTCCCCCTCCTCCCCCGCCTCCGTCGCCGCCTCTGCCTCCGCCGCCTCTGCCGCCGCCTCCACCTCTGCCTCCTCCGCCTCCCCCGCCTCCTCCGCCTCCTCGGCCTCCTCGGTCGCCTCGGCCTCTGCCTCTTCCCGCCCCTCCCTCCCCCGCCTCCGTACTCCGCTGCCTCGCCCGGCTT